TATGAACTTTTCATTTGTGAGAGTAGGACACTTCTGTCTTCAACACAAAAATATTATCAAAAAGGATTGGCCTCACGGTCTTGAGAAATTTAATGATATCGGTCTTTCACTTTAGACTGTGATTGCACGCGTATTGAAGATATCCTCTACCGTCGGAAGATTTGAAGCATTTCTCGACTTTCTAACTATTTCTCGCCTTTTGAACTTTTCCAGGCCAGTCAATAAGCTCGTATCGCAACGGCAGCATTTCGCTGTTAAAGGCGGTCAAGAATTCTCACTCTGAAATAACAACTATTGTGTGACGAACGGAATGGAGGCCGGGATCTTAGACCTTCTAAACCGGTTCGGGTCTTCGAAAAAGTTCACGAAGACTTCGCTACTGATAGACGGGCAAATAAGTTCACAACTCAACTTTTATGATATATGATTTTTTTTATTAGCCTGTAACCATTTTTTCGTACATATATTGAAATATCGCAAGGTATCAGTATAAAAGAATAAGAAAAGCATTTTTTGATTTTAGTAAATAATTTGCTACATGTCTAATTATTACCTCAGCTTTTATTATATTGAATTTATCAATACAGGTAAATAAATAATTGATCCGATTGCACTGTAGAAGTCAGAACATGAATTGATTCAGTAAAATACAAAGATACTACAATAATATCTGCAATACTATAACATGTAAAATCCCACATGAATTATACATATAAAAAAATAATTTATTTTATTGCTGTTGATCTACAATGAATTGTTTCAGATTTCTGTTATTTACGCGCTTTTAAAAATGACCAAAACCATGCAGATACACTAGTTTAGACTTATAAAATTAAACACAATAAAGCTCCAGCTAATTTAATCATAAACAATTGTCGATCGAATTATAACAGTTATAACACTTTAAGTAACGCAGTAACATATGGCTTACTTACCGAAAAAGAGCAATTTTGTCCATTACATGGGTAAATAATGTAAAAGTTACTGGCCAATTTTTACCTTACTTGCAACATTTAATTATGCGCACATTGGGTTATGAATATGGAAGACCTGTTCTTCTTTTTCAAACCCTTAACAGGTATTCAATCCACGACTCACCTTTGAGGTTGGAACATAATTCTTCATTTAACTATCATAATTCTAATCGGAATATAGGTATTTCAAACGAAACAATACCGAAGGGCCGTTTTTCAAGAGTGTTTAATTTTAGATAATGTTGACATTAATCTCAAGCCTCCCACTTTCTTGCAAGTTCTTCTTATACGAAATGCTTCTCATTTTTCAGCATTTTTTTGGAACGATCTGTTCGTCGATAACGTTTACGACGCATCTTTTACAGCTTCAATATCGTTTACGATAACAAAGCCATCCCAGCAGGCTCTGCTTGTATCGTTGTTCGAGAGCTGCTCTCTGGCCATTGCGAGTTCAATCTAAAAAACGTACGAGGGGTAATTCACCCCTCAGTTTGCTCGGAAATTTATCATGCTCCGATGGGAATTCAAGCGCGAATATTCGAGTTCTGCACCGTATAAGAACCTTAGAGGTTTTGATATTGCACAAATTCGAGGCAATTTGCAGAATTTACGGTGCACTGCCTACACGAAAAAATCGTTACGGGTGAAACATGAGCAGGACTCGATGTCGTCTCTCAAACCCTGGTACAAGGAATATTGTACGATATTCTAGGTGCGAACAAGGAATATACAAACAATATTTGACAAAAATTATTTTAAAATCATATAAAATGTCATGTTTACCGCCAACAAAAAATGAACCAACAAAAGTTTTGAAAAAGTTTTTTGAAAAAGTAAGCGGGAAAATTGACTAATCATATGCAACAATACGTTTTTTTAACAATAATAACTGGCATCCACTTAAAGTGACTATATGCTGTATAATGACGAGAATTCTTGTTGAATTTTCAAATTTTATTTTATGAACGACAAAAATTTTCAGCTAAATGAATTTCGAATTCCATAAGCTAAAACAGTTTCAATTATATGTTTGGTTCCAAAACACATACAAAGAATCATATTCTCAACATGCCGACCAACATCCGAAGTATTTGACAAATTTTTCGTATAATCACCCATTATAATTTGAGAAGGCTATCAAACTCACATAAGATAAAGTTTCACCCCCTCCCACAGAGCCGAGCATTTCTTCTGAAGTTTCTAAGGAAACGAACGGCGCATAATTTTTAAACGGAACGTGGGTGCTGGTCCTGAAACCTCCATTAGTTCGAGTCCATAGGAATCTTAGGAGTAATTTCTGTCCAATAAACACTGGTGGTATCCGAGAGCCTGAAAATTCTTCGAAATCAATGAAGGGAAATAGAGCGCTCTTGAGTGCCTCAGAGGATGCTGTCTGAGTAACACGCTGAGCCAAGGCTTCACTGGGATTCTTTCCCTGCTGGACAGTTGCTGAACTGAGAGGAAGCTGCTGCTGCGCTGAAACGTGTCTCTGAAGTTCGTGTCTAGAAACACTATAAACCTGGGCTTCACTTTGATTCCTCTACTGCTGGATGTCAGTGTCATATTCAGAAAGTTTCTTTTCTCTCAATTTATTTTCAAACTAAAGAAAATATTTCCTAAAAAGTGAAAATAATGGATAAAAGAAGTTGTCTTCAACGACTCGGCGCGTCCTCTCCGATGAGTGGCAGCAGTCCCAGGATGCTTGTTCGACAAACAGAATGAGTCGGTCTCAGCTATAAATTACGAATCTTTGAATAATTTATTTTTATTTCCACAAGTTGTTTGCGCTGTATTGATGACATTCGCCAATTATTACCATTTTCATTATCAAGGATAATCATTATGAATGATAATCGAGACGAGTTATCCGGTTATCCCAAATACAGAAACAAGGAAGAAAAAATTCCTCGTGCATGATGGCAGCTCGATCAGTCAAACTGCCAGAATTCCGCTTCAAAAAATTCCTAGGGAAATTTTGTGCGATATAGACAGCCAACCGCCTCTGATATCGCAGCCATGTCTTATTTAAGCCGCTCGTATACTTCAGTGGCCAACCAAGGGAAGCTAGCTTGCCATTCAGGCTCCGCGGGTAAGAAGCCGTCCGCCCTCAAAATACGAGACACATAAGAGCGGATGCTCAGCGAGGCAGAACAGCAACATTAAAGCTCGTAAAGAAACGAAAGAGAAAGCCAGCTTGACAGGAGCCTTGGGATAAATACGCTTCCAGTCACATCTACCAAAGTGATATATTAGCCAAAAATGTATACAACTTTCCGGGATTCAAAATGTTGACGACGGAAGCCCATTAAGGACCAATGAACTCCAGTATTATCCCAGATCGACACAGATTAATTTTATACAGCAACGATTTGAAAAATGTATTAGTGCAACACTCTCCATGATGTTTTAATAATTCCCGTTTTTATTACGATATTAAACTCAGATAATGAGCGCCATAAATCTACGAAAATTAATAAAAAATTATTCAATTTGCTTATATATCTTGTCTACCATGTTTGACGGATAACGTAATGAGTAATTAAGGAGAGATCATCATGGTTTTTTTAAATATATTTTTTCTATCAGTTATCACATTAATTAAGCACGATAAAAATATAGTAACCTCTGTTCAAATAATGGAATATTTTCTGTACTTAGTGCTCCCTGAGTATATACCTAGTGAACAAACGTTTTGATGCCTCTCCACTCTCCAGGTTCGGACGCATTCACGCAAAGGCGCGCGGCACTTGAGGGTGTGAACTGTGAACGTGGCTGGGCTACGAATACTGGGAAACGAGTGCTGTTTCTCAAATTTATTAGCAAATCATTCCTCATGATGAAAACTAAATAAAGATAAATAAAAAAGTGACTATGGTCGTGAGCTTCGCAAGCAGTGCATCATGTATGAAAAATAGTGGGTAGGCTAGTAGGATATGGTTGTTTGAATAACCTGGCGTGGTGTGAAATATGAACTAGATCGTTCGGGTTCTTATGTTTGATAATAGCCTAGTTAGGTACAATACCGATCCTAGACATTTCATTTTTTTGTCACTCCATCACGTTTCAAATTAGCTATAAAAAATTAATGTTCAGTAAGAGTGTAGTCGAAAAAGAGGAGCATTACTTGATTTACTTCAAAGTTCAAACGTCAATGCTTGCCAACTTGCCAAGTGCCAAGTCCCCACGGCAAATTTGTCGGCGGCCTTGAATAGTAGTACTAATAGGCTATAGCTATATTATGAACAAAACTGACCAGAACTTCGTATCATGATCGAAACAGCTTCGTAGTGTTGTAATCAAACCCTACAAACTACAGTTTCTGAACAGTATGATAGATATTATTGACAAGCGGCGAGTTAAGTGAAGCATTGCTGAAACTGAATGGCGACTAGCTACTCACACTAGTTGACCGTTTATCGTTGACAGTAGCAGAACTATATGCCAACTACCCCGTTGAAGCTTTCTTATGCGGTCGATGCGGAAACTCAGAATGTAAAACTCAACTCAGTAGGTTAATTGGGCCCTGGGATGTGGGATACGAAATTCCTGCAGCGATGAATATATAGTATTATTTGTCCATGTCTTTATCGATAGCTAATTATTTCCACGAGTCATTACAGTGCATTTGGAGATAACTCTTCTAATTTCGTCCGACCCTGGAGGCTGGACACGCCCGGCGGCGCCGCCCCCATGCTGGCCATGCAATTGTGGTAGCGAAGATGGTGTGCCTACCTAATTCTTTCCTGACGCGTGAATATATCATTTATATGCAATGTAGAATTTTTTTAGTGTGATGTACAAATTAAATTCAGTTGTTGAAATTTTAACGCTATATGACTTAATTAAATGGCTGTGTTTGTTCACTGTTTCGAAAACCTAATTTGAATATTTAATTTCTCAAATTTTATGCATGCGGTAAGTTTTTTTTTTCAAATTAATATCCTACTAAAGTTATCGCTGTTTAAATTTGAGCAAATATACCTACTATTTATAAGCTAACTATATCTCTCTATGCTGCCATAGTATGAATGCTACATCCAGTCGGCCGAAACTTACTAGTGCTCGGCATTTGCGGGCGAGCGTTCATTCATTCATGCTCCCCTGCGACCACGATGAATCTCCCTGCGTTCATGTAGCAACGCGTCTTATATAGCTTGCTGCACGCGGTAATCAGTTTTAACTAATCTAGTTTCAAGCTGATTTTCGCTCTCTTATTCTGATTATTAGTCATATTTTATACTGATAATGCTCATTATATGCATACTATCTGCTATCATGGTTGCATTTTACCGTTTTCATGACTATAATTACTTCTTTAAGGTAGTTTATTATTTGAATATAACAGTGAGCCGTTGCGACTAGTGAGGCGCCGTGTCGTCGGCTATCAGTTATCTCTCCCTACATCGCGCTTCGCCTATACGGAGCCTGCACTTCGTCCTGGGTTTTAAAGAAATAAAAATGAATCATTCGCGGATCTTCGCCGGCTGACGGGTCGATCTAATCGATCATCTATCGAATCGATCATCGATCTAATCTACATAACTGAGAAAGTCGATCTGCAGATTTGAACATCCCGCGGAACTCGATCAGCGGTAAGTGAGTGGGAACAAAGACTTAGTCTTGATACAATGAGATCTTACCAGGCAATTACAATATTAATAATTGATTAGGTACCATCAGTCGAAATTCCGATTGAATGTCACTTTTTGCTGACGAGGCCTGGAATTTAACATCCGCAATACTCGAGTGATTACTGTATTTGCAAAAACTTAGATTATAGTGTAGCAGTGTTGTGCTGACTGCTGAAGAATAGCTATGCAAAGTTTGACCTGTCGCTTGTTGTTCTTGTTCACAGTATATGTATAAACTGACCTTTTTACCAGATCTTTTCAAAACTTACGGTAATTTAAATTTTTACCATGTCAATGGCGTGATGGGCACTTCCAGTATGAACATGGAAGTTTGCACAACATAGTCTGGTCTGTTCCTTCTTGTCTTGTAGCGTTCATACTCGCAGCGTTCAATATGCCAACATGTCTGTTCCACATGTTGGTCTTAGCGCTAGGGCAGAGAATATTCTTGTGATGTAAGAAATGACTAAAATTAAGGGATATGAACGTTTTTTGGAAGTTATTGTCACTGTGATTTTTAAAACCTTGATGCCGAAATTGATGTTAGGTTGTTGAAAGGGCGTTTTTCGTTATTATTGATTATTGTTAAGAGAAGAATCGAGAATCTTGTCACATTGACCAAACTCCGATTGCTACATAGTCGATAAATACGTGCTTATCCCTAAACTTACTGGTTCTAAAATCAGTGATGGTAATTAATTAATCTTTCAATTATTATAATTAATCCTGTCAAAAAAGCTAAATAAGTATAAATTCCCGACTTTCATTGCGCCGGGAAACCTGTCGAAACTAACCCATGCTTTTCCTGAATACGCTTGCTTAATTATACAAGTGAAATTATGCTATGAATTATTATTCCTTAATTATGTTATGAATTATCATTAGCTTAATTTAACCTCGATCTCAAAAAAAGCTCTACGTTTTTACGCTTGTTGTAGTAAATTGGCTTATCCACCTTTAAAAAAAATGATGCGTACTGCTTTTCTTATAAAGCTCGATACTTCCTCCTGCTTCTATAGTTGCTGTAGCGTGATCTAAAACCTTGAAGTGGGGTTTATTCCTGCTGTAATAATTAAGATTAGATAGCAGAATTTGATTGTTAATACACTCTCCATTGATGGCTAGAGAATTTATTCGATACAATTTGCAGGACTTGAATTTATCTCAATCGATCTCAATTGTAGTTAAGAATTGTTCGACTCAGTGAGAATTTTAATCTAGTGCACTCTTCTGTATTGTACATTTATTTTACATGATGAGAAGGAAGTGTAGCTAAGAAGGAAAGCTAATCAGTACATCGTTCCTTTTCCATAGCATTTGAGGAGTGAGAGCCAAGCAGCCACGTGTGGGAGGCCTATTCGTCATTTGGCGGCGCTCCAGGAAACATCCCGAGCGCCGCGAAACAAAAGCGCAACACAAGCACAGCTGAGGCGGCCGACCACCGAGGCCTTGCACTCTTATGTAACTCCGGTCGCGGTCAGTAACGTTGATGGCTGTCATAACACCCTACGATGAAAACCATGGTAGATATATGGGCAGTAAATTAATGGACGATGATCCTCAACCGATGCTTAGGGAGCTTCAGTTGTCAAAAAATTTCAAGTGACCCACTTTTTACGTATAAGTTACACTGAGAAGAAATTGCGATATACTGAATTTTTCTTCTTCAAACGAAACGCAAAATCAATAACATGATTCTCAACCTAGGACGAATTAGAATTCTATTGACGGTTATAGAAGATTACCAATAGCTGAAATTAACTCGGTATTCTTTGTAACTCGAGATTCTGGGGAACAATAACTGGGATCATGCGGGCCCGTTGCTGAATTTTGAGCAGATGGGTAATTAAGCATCATAGAAATTGTTTTTTTTTAACGAGGCTTCTACTCTGTCATTATGCAAGCGAAGGATGGTCTTTGTAAACGGGTCAATTACTCCTGTATGCCTGGAGAGAGTAGCTTTTCCATAAAATGAAATTTGTTTTAATTAAATTATATAAACAAATGAGCAACTAAATCGCACAACAGGTACAAACTTGCCGGCGATGTCTAACTTTCTCTACTTTATTTTATTTTTAGAATCAGTTGATACCAGATTAAACAGAAAAATGCTGAAACATAGAGACGATGCTTTCTATGGAAAAAATTACAGAAAACAATTCCCTAGTTACCGAAATAATCGCTTTCGGTTAGATTCAAAGTAAGAACGATGATTTTCGTGAGATTATTTGTAAGTGACAAGCGGTAAGAAAATTTAATATTCCTATCATTATTTGAACAATATTGACCCATGATAATGGGCATCTAGACTAAAATCCTATCGCGGTAATGCAAGTCCTTCATAATGATGAAGATCTCGAACGATCCAAAATTTCCGATTAGGATTCGGTTTGAAATTCTTATTTATTCATCATTTTATGTGTCCTTGATAATTATGCTATAATTTTTCGTTTCAGGGACTGCTCAACTATTTTGGCAACTGGAGAATAATGTCAAAAAGAAAAGTGCAAGTTTATTTGGTTTTATTATTTCATTTTACATTTGAAGAAATTTTTCGGACAGGAATATTCAAAATTGTTAAGGAGTAATGATTTATTGGAAGCCGGCAGGCTATTTTAACGAAAAATTAATTTTATTTTTGACGGGTTTTCCTTTTTAAATCAAGCACTTGTATTAGGAACTTTCCCTGTACCAAACTAGTCGATTTATTGGCTTTTTTTCGTGTGATCGTGATATGTAACAATTCACTTACTAATTTTCATTGCCGATTGTTAATCGATTGCCGAATGTTGTTCGTTGAGAATGTCCCTGGATTTTTATTTTCTTACTCGAGACAAGCATAGAAGAACGGAGATATATCATTTTCTGGCATAATTCATTTCAACATATTCCATTAAAGATATGCGGAAGGGAGTTTAGCTGAGTGAAATGAAACTGGGAATGTTTAAACTTTACAATTAATAGCTCAAGGCGGAGAGTATCTGTGATACCGCCCGCCACAACATCAAGCCGCCGATGCCTTGGATTCAGTCACCTGCCGTTGGACTTCGCGTGTCTTCATCAACAAATGCACATGATGAATTACCTACGGAAAATCTTCTTCCGACCATCCGAGACCGTAATGGACGAAGACGGACCAGTGCGTCTGACGGCGTTTAGGAAGAATCCTGCGCTTGAAGAACTAGAAGATGGCAACGCACAGGTACACTAACTTGTGTCCCCAATTGAAGACGACGAAAACTGCGGCGGTGGTATATTGAGGGGTTCTCTAGCCGACAGTTGTCTCCTCTGCTGCATCATCTGGTGTTCCTGCTTCAGTTGTTGCTGCATACCGTGCTGCTGCTGCTTACCTAATTGCTGTGACTTCTGATATCTCCGCAATGTTTAGTATAGTAGCTTCAATTTCTTGGGAATAACTGTTCAATATTTTTCAGTCAATTATCCTGGATTTGTTTATGCATATATAGTGGAAACTCGCCTTTGTTAAACATAGTTTGAACTAAGGATGAAAAATCAATGGAGACAATTATATCACGTAATTTGTTTTAATAATAATGTTATCCGGCCGGAAGAAAATCAAAGTGAAACGAAACGGCTAAGTTTGGTAGCTGCGGGGTTGCGCCGTGAAAATTGATGCCGTCCACTGCATCATCAAGCCGCTGACTCGTGGGATTTTGACTGCTGTTTAATTCGTGCGCACTCGTCGAATCTAATAGATATGAAGATTACATTAAGAAATTTGTTCAGTTGTAATTTGTTCCATAGGAGTCAGTTGTAGAAAAAGATGGATCAGAGAGTTCAGAAAGATTTCGGCCCAGCTCAAGGATTGACATGGAAAATATGACATAGAAAGCTGGTCTACGGCATTCGTTGTGAATCGTGGTGAGCAAACTACGGAGGGCATGGATCTCAACATCATGAGAACGGAGAATCTTCAATTCAGGATGATGGCAACGCTGAGGCACAGGTAGTTGCCTACAAGGAGTTTGCATGCAGTCGACGATTCCAGCAACGGTACGTGTGTATCTTCGCGAGTCGACAGCTGCTGCTTCTAGTTCTTCTTGCATGGCTTCTACCTGGCAACCAGTTGCTGCCGACCGTGCCGCTGCTCGTCCGGTTATTGTGACTGCAGATCTTTCTAGATGATTTGTTAATGCGCGTTCAGGGATTATAATCGGAACTTCACCAATTGTCACGCTGATCGTCTGAATTGTGTCCACGTTATTAATTTTTGATACTAATTGTAATTTCAACTTGCTCGCGGTAGCAAAGCGAACATTTTTCAGAGTTTCTGTTTTTCCGTGATTGTGGAATGCGAGTTTGCGACATTTAATAGGTTTTAATTATAATAAATTCCACATCTCCTCACCGTTTTCATTTTTTTATCCTTGAAAATCTTAATCCTCCATCGTAGCACAAAGAAAACTAGTGAAAGAAAGCAGCTGTACTGCCAATAAATTTAAATAGTCTCTTCCATGCGATGTAGTTGGAAAGTTTACCACGAGACACGCATTAGAAAGTTTCAGTCCCATTTAGTAAATAGCGAAGTTCCCCTACGAGAAATTTTTATGGAGGCCTATCTAGAAAAGATTTTCGAATGATCAACTGAAGTAATTAGTCCTACGTCATGTTCTCCGTTTCGTTCTGGAGTTAAAATCCGCGCAACTGCGAATTGTTAGCCAATTGTTAGCACGAGTTTTATCTGTTTCAGTTGATTAAATAAATTGACTCGATTAAATACGCGCTTAGAAATTGTAATTGAGACTCAAAATCAGAGGAATAATTTTATTCAATTTCACATAAAAGCAAGAATTTCTTCATGAACAAATTTAGGAAATCAGAGTAAACAAATATCGAAAAGAAAAACAACTAAGTGTAAGTGTGTGCGACAGCTCGAGCATCGTCAAACCTAACTTTTAGTTTCACGTTTAGTGTCCGATCTTCATCGTCACTGCAAAGTCCCTCGTAGCGACTGCCTGAGGTGTCAACAATTTCATTCTCATCAGGATGTCCGTAGTAATATTTGGATTCACTTAGATACAAACGCTGCGGCTCTTCGGGGCCAATGTCATAAGGTCCAGCTCCGTCGTTGTCCAACTCTGCGGAGGTTTGATCAAGAACCTCCAGCTTCCGCTTCGGACTAAAGCAGCGCCACCACATTTGCAGTCCATCTTCAGAAGTTACACTTCGAATGACGTCCACGACATACGAAAGTGCTTTTGAGAGCTTGTGAAGTTGTGCCAGTTCTTCAACACCCACTTCCCCACTGTGGGCAACATTTTTGCTCAAATGATTCAGGACTATTTTTGGTAGGAAGGCGCTCACTAAAGCATGCTGTTGATAAAGATCTATCATTTTGCTTCGTATTTGCGGCTCCAAGTCTTCGGTAAGACTCAAGTTCCGGATATGATCAGGCGTAGACAATAGGTCGTCCTGGATATTTTGCTGGCTGTACCAACCGCTCTTGCTTCCACCTGTTGAGCGGTATAAAGATATGCAGGATTATAGCTTCAGGTCAAACTTTTTGAAAATTATTTCTATAATCTATTATTACAGAGACAAGTATACAACATGCGATTTTACGAAAAAAAACGAGATTATTATCATAGATCCAGACAACAATCCCATATTCCGTCAAATCATGACTTACAATTTATTGTATATCTTCATCGTTAAAACGTATCTACCGATCCTCAGCTAATATTCTGTCACGAGAAAAGAAAGAATGGAGAGAATGTTTGACTAGTAAATAACTCACATGACGAACAAAAGTTACGCATTTTGGAGGTTGAATCGATCACGGGATGAATGCGGTTATTCAAATTTCTCTTCTCACGTTCGTAGAATAACTGCATTTTAGTTTTCCCGCAGTCATCGGTGAATGTCATCAGAGAAGACAACAAATTGTTATTTGGTAGCATCTTTGGCCCTCCTCGAATTTTCTCTTTTCGTTCCGGTGAGGTATTTTTCTTTCCATCAGCAATAACTGGGTCTCCAAAATCGTCAGTAGAAAATCCGGACTCTGTTGACCACTTTCTTGGTACATAATTTACGTAAGAAATTTTTTTCGCGGCCGTGATCACGGTCGGTTTTTCTACATTAGCGACTGTGGAAGGCGCGTCTTTCTCGGCCGCATCCACGGACGGTGCGTCTTTCTCGGCCGCATCCACGGACGCTGCGTCTTTCTCGGCCGCATCCACGGACGCTGCGTCTTTCTCCGCAGCATCCACGAACGAGGCATCTTCCTCTGGCGGATGGCCGTTGGCTGCGACTTCTGCATGAATTCCGTTATCGTTTCTAGCATAAATATTAATCTCACACGTACGACCCAGAAGGTCGAGATCGGTGGTAGCAGCCGTCATTGCTAACGCATCTGCAGTCAGTTGCTTCTTACCTCTACCAGGAGACATAATCCGAGCTTCGGGTGGATTAGATTCTTTCAGTACATTAAACTTTGGAGATTCTGTGTGCTCCTGTCTTAAATTTATATTCTCTGAATCGTCTTTGGTAGCATAAGCTGCGTCTTCTGCCTTTTTAATTTTGCCTTGTGGCGTCTTATCGGCATTAGAACGTCGGCGACCGCCTTTTACCATTTTAAATTGTCTGCAAAAATTTGGATAAAATTATTTTCTTCTCTTACACAATAGTTTCGTTTTACATAATTCCATAAGCGTCTTCGCTAGATGCTCGTTATCATACCTCCAAGATCCAAGGACTTATGAAAAATTCCGATTTAGAACAGTATAATACGCAGATCTCAAGCCTCTATTAGTTAGCGCTACACTTTAGTTTATTTTCTGTAGTCGGTTATTATCTAATAATTAATTGCAATATCATCGCCCTCATTAAGAGATTTGAACTAATTTAGCGGTAGTTTCCTTTCGCATAGTTAGCCCTCGCGATTTCGGCAATTCACGAGCGACCCGTGGCCATGATCATATTAAAAATGTTGCTACTAGTAATTTACTGAATGGTCGTTCAATATTTTAATTCCAAAGACTTATGCAACTCCTCAATGCCTTCGACCGGGATAAATTGATCCGACGTTTAACGTTACGTTACAAATAATAACCATGCTTACCTACAACTGATTAGTTTAGGTTTCTGAATGAAGTGAGCCACAACCGCTTCTAAAATGACTAATCTACGACCGAAATTGAAGTCTGGATAAGGACCCCAAAGCACGTAAAGACAACCGATTGTTCTGAATTCTCGCGTTTGTCACTTCAGGCAAAATTCAGTTTTTCAAGAGACCAACAACGTCCCATTTTTAAAGTAAGTGTGACTCAATTGAATAGCATATACGTGAGTCAACTGAATAATATGGAAGTAAGATGATTTTATAAAAAAATATGCCAAGATTTGTGTCGTAATTTATGATTTCACTATTGAAAATGAGATCTGATCAACCCGATCCGCCGAATGTTGTAAATATCGACCTAATATAGAAGCGAGTAGGCAAAAATTGTGGGATTTCCAATCTTCTCAAGCAGTACTAAACAAATATTTGGATCTAAACGTCCATAAATAAAGGCTCATTGCAAGTAAAAAAAGATTGGTGTTCACAGTTCGTATGAACAGAGGTGAACATTGTATACAGAATGGTTGCACTTAAATAAGAACTTAGCATCTAAGGGATTTGCTACCTAGAGAATGATCTCTAACGCGATTTTAGATGGTAAGGCTAATAATATAAGCGACAGTTTATCGCCAAAAGGAACTAGAGGTGCCGGGGATCGAACCCGGGGCTTTTCGCATGCGAAGCGACAGAATACACGAGTGAAATAACGTCAATCATCTTAGCGACACGAAAGCTCTTTTTTAATTAGTTGTCACAACTAATTAGTTGTTACAACACAAATAATTACCAGTGGAGCTTTAATTTTTTCTATCGAGGACACGAGTAACCCGACCATACATAAGGATGAAGTTGTAAGCTAATGATAAGAATTGTTTACGATATCTACTTGCCGAACTAATAAGCTAAATATTCGTATTGGCATGGTTCAGTTGATGCCAGGAACAGTTTTGAACTAACATTTTGGAGGACAAATTATTGAAAACCTCACACGAAATGCGTTCCAACTTTTGCTACCACGACTTCCTGAAAATGATTCACTTATGAGACAAGAGAGTGATTTTACACCTCAGCGAAAGGTATTATTAAAATCGCGGTATGCCAGCTAACATTTAATTGTTCAGACCATGCCACTCTAGAAATCCGCATTTCGCATTGCTCCTGGAAGTTTTGAAACACTCGACTACATTCTAACAGACGGAAGAAATACGTAACATTCACATTCAGATATAACGAAGAGTTCCATCTGCTTTAGTTTTCTAAACTATATTTGATATTTTAGTCAGTATTGTTCATTGAAATAGCTCACACGTTTCCTTATCAAATTGATTTTAATGTAACACATTTTAGAGAGTCAACATCTCCCAGGTTTCTCACGCAGTTGTTCCCTACACCGACGCCATACATACCGTCGACGAGATATTTCAGGAACTAGACGACTTTCGTAAGGAGTAAAATTGGTTTAAAGGAAGCAACAAAAACCTTATTCTTCGCAGTCAAATAAAGCTTCAGAATATTTTGCATCTCATTATGAAAACATCAATAAATTCAGAAAAAACATCAATGAGATCAGAAATTATTTTTAAATTGCTTGCTATCAGACTATGATTGCCTGACAATTTAAAAAAAAAAATAAATATCAAAATGGCAGTGTTATCCTCCTGCATTTAAGATATTAAAGACCAGGAGGTACGTGGACCAGAGTGTGGTCCCAGTTTATTTTGGATGCGATTTATTTGCTAGTACTAATTAGGTGCAAATACTAATCTGGTTGAGATCAAATATCCAGATCTTGTCTCTAACTTGAACTAAGTGTGTATTTGCCTCACTTCACATTTTATTCACTGCCATACTTAGCCTTGTCAGTGCCATCCATGCATGTCCACAGATACATGGTATTTTTTGCCTTGTCAGTGGTATTCGTGTACTTCCACGGATACATTAAGCCTCGTTAGCGCTACTCTTCTCCATAAGACTGGAGTTACTGTCAAAGATCAATCTAATAATAATTAAGTGCCCGAAGAACGGTTCAACAATTCTAATTAATCTTAAGCAGTACTTAACAATGCGATCTACAGCATCAATGAACTAATTAAATTAAAAATCTGTTCTAGATATGAATATGTGAAACACTCATTTCAATTCTTTCAAAAAGCGATCAGCACCAACAAATTTGGACAGATGCCCGCTCACAAGCCCGCGTCCCTGCTCACTGTACATTAGGATGACATATTATGATCCGGCTTACAGATCAAGTGCAGCGAGAAAGAGAGGACTTGTTGAAGTGATTCGTAAATTTTTGTTCGTATACTTTAGGTAATAAGGTAATAATCTTATTACCTTAGGTAATAAGATTCGCTGTGCAGATGAGGATGATTCATGTGTAACAGAGGGAGGAACTTTTTATTGATAACTTGCTACAACACTAGTAGACAAATTATGCGAAAATGTACAAAAATACATATCTACAGGATAATTGCCGTAAATAGAGTTCGCATTCTGCGTTCAACAAAACTACTTACATGAGGATTGCCAAGAATCAAGTTATTGCCGTTATACATTATACGTCAACGCCTTTGGATTTTTCAACGTGATTATCACACTAGCATAAAATTACCAGCGGCCTTCATGAGAACGTGCCACGAGCGTTTCATTTGCGCACACTAAGTAAAACTTACGTATATCACAGATTAATATGCACTATTTTTAGTCAATAATACATATTTTTATTTTTTACTACTTTATATTGCAATTTACTTTAAAATTATAATATTTTCCGATTATAATACAAAGCCCGTGTCGATTGTTCTATAGTAACATATGAAAGTCAACTATTTTTTCACTCTATTCGTCAAGATCAACATCAAATCTTATTTTAAACAAATTCATTGATTAAAGTTTGTTTACCGATATGTTTGAGCTTGCTCGTTCGAACTTTGTTTAGTCAGTTTGAAAAATTTGTTTAGTGTTTAAGATTAAGATAAAAACATTTGGGTTACATAGGACATAAAAAATAAGGTTATACATAAAATATTTAAAAATGACTATCCAAACGAAGCGAATCAATGAGAGAAGCAACCCATAAATTAACAGGATTGTGGTATGAATGATGATTTATACAAACAAATAAGATACTGTTAAGATGATACAAATGTTGAACTTCATCCCATATTGAATCTAAAATTCATCCCATATAATCTTCCATACCTTTTGAACCAACATAAAGTGTTAATGCATCACCTATATTGAGATCGTGTTTATCGAAAATAAATTCATAATTAGCGAAATGTGATTCATATAATAAATTCGTTATTCTATTTGGCAAAACATTTGGATTATCAATCAGGAAAATAAAATTATTAATACGAATTAATGTTTTAAATTAGGAAATATTTTCTGTGCAATAACGTCCAGTGTGTGCGTAAAAAAATTGTACCAAAGTCTTGCTGCAATATATTCCTGACATTACAAAACGGCTATAAAATTGCATAATCAAAAACGAATTCATTGTCCGTGGAAGCAAGACACAGGAAGTCGAAACAACTGCTAAATAAAACCAACCGTCCTTAATAATCCGTCTAACTTTTTCCGTTTTTTTCCCGAATAATCCGCCTTTCACTGAATTAAAAATTTAAACTTCAATAACGGGTATGTTTTACCTATAACTGTCATCGCTGTGGCTGCAACAAAAGCCCCTCTCTAATGCAGATAATTACACTTTAATGTTCAGAAATAGACAGTAAGGCCAGGCGCGTCGCTGCTGTGTTGGTGGTGGTGCTGGTGGGGCGCTCTATGTGGCATGGGCGTCACACTCACCTCGGGGTCTAGTTCGGTCTGCATCGTAACATGATAAAGCGTTAATAAATACATGTTAATAATAAATAAATATATCATTGCAATAATAAACGAATATCATTGCAATAAAACATTGATTAATAATTGTTATTGCAATAAAATGCACAATTGAATACAATCTCAAACGATGTTGGATAAATCTTCCAATCATTGAGATATTTCTAGAAATGAGCTGAGTAGTTAAAGAAATGATGACAATTGACGACGATAAGGAAATGCTGTTGTGTGAAAATTTATATTAACCAGCAATAACAAGAAATACAGATACTGAGCATCAAAATGAATTCTCCATGTAGAAGGTTACAGAGTCTGTTATACTTAGTTGATTGGAAAATTTCACACTTACCGATTGAGAATAGTCATGATAGCGGGACTAAATAAAAAAACAGTAATCTGAATAATCTCAAAACTATTGTTGACAACCATAACCACCATCTGTGGAGGCTTTACCCCGGAATCAATCTATATATTTCGAATAATGTTCAAGTTTAAAGAAGCATGAAAGGTCTGTAGAAAGATTTTCCTCTCGCTATTATTATCGCATGAGAAAGTTCAGAAATAGTTCAGAAATTTTCAGAAATTGTTCAGAAATAGTTCAGAAATAGTTCAGAAATAGTTCAGAAATAGTTCAGAAATAGTTCAGAAAAGCTCAGAAAAGTTCAGAAATTTCCTCTCGCTATTATTATTGGCGCATGAGAAAGTTCAAAAATAGTTCAAAATTTTTCAGAAATAGTTCAGAAAAGCTCAGAAAAGTTCAGAAAGAAAAATGTTCAGAAAATTTCTCTCGTTATTATTATTAGCGCATGAGAAGTTCAGAATTATTCACCTGGCTGTAGAGCTCGTCCTCCCACGACAACTTCTTGACGCGCTTGGGGATGGAGCCCGGCGGCCACACGGTGCGCTGAGGCTGGTAGTCGAACAGCGCCGTGTTCACCGCGCCGTGTTCCGACGCCAGCGATGCGCCTCCTGCGTACGCACGTGGCATTATTATCATTGTTATTATTATTATTATTACTATTATTACTATTATCATTATTATTATTACTATTATCATTATTATTATTACTATTATTACTATTATCATTATTATTATTATAATTATTACTATTATTATTATTATCAACATAATCTGACGAAGCGATTGTCGGGGAGTCTGGTTCAACCGAAGTTCGAGGACACGTTATACTTAGAAAGAGCTATAAACAAGTGAGCGAAAGAGCAAAAAAAATATAGGAGAGATGATAAAAACGGATCAAGCGACTATGCACAACCATCAAACATAAAATAATTCTGTTATGCTAAACAATTCACATTTAAAATCATCGAAGCTGTTTTATTAGTAATAAACTTCAGTTGTCCCCTTAGAGATTCGATCATGAATTAAATTTTTTACTTGTAAACTTCTTAAACGAATTCAAGCTTCGGGTTGCGACTCAAAGTTTTTAAAACGTACATGAGAAAGAAATTCCAAGAGACTCTTGGTATGCCTACACGAACCTCCCTTGGCTTAGCGAGGGAGCTGACACCAATCATGTAATTGTAGGGATCAAGTAATGAAGAAAAAGTATATAAATCATTTAGTTCGCTTATGCTTAGTAATTTTCGTTATTACAAATTTCCTAATTAACTTTAGACCAAATATATTATCAATTTGAGCATTGTCTATTGAGAAATAGCACATTAAAATGTTCATAATTCACACTAATTGTGTTTTTTTCCATTTATTTAAGTGTTGTTTTCGTATTCATATTACTCGAGGTATTTTTTAAATATTTGATGGCATTGATTTTCAATGCAAATATTTATTCACCCGAGGAGAAAGCAGACGGCGGTCTGAGGACGTGTGGGGAGAAGGTGGACATGGACTCCCCGTACGGGGAGGCAGGGCTGGGGCTGCGGTGCCGGGGGCTGAAGGATGCAGAGAGTGGGAAGTGGTAGGAGGAGGGGGAGGAGGTGCCGGTGGGTGGGGGAGGTGGGGGAGGGGCAGGGGGAATGTGGCCAGAGCGGTGGTGCGGAGCGCCGCCTGTCGCCCGGGCCGTTCCGTCCGAACTTCTGACGTCATCATGACGTGAGAGATTAGGTTAAGTTGGCTCAAATAGATCATTTTAGTTGGGTAGATATTTCATCTCTGAATTAGGCTCAAAAAGGCATGAGTAAATTTACGGGTATGAAAGAGATTTGAAGAAATTCAACACGGAATGATATGTTTTTAAGATGAGTGCCGAGAAATTGCAAGCAGGGGTTGCATAACTGAAGGAAGAACACAGGAGAATATTTAAGGCCAAGTAATTAGAAAAAATACGGAATTTTACATAATGAAAGCTGCCCGTAATAAGCTGACTAATACAGTAATAAGAAATTACTCTACTTTGAAAGAGGAATTTTTAAATAAACTTCTTTCAAATGTATTCACCTTAACTGAAGATTGAAAATTCTGTCACAACCTTAGGATAGTTCTATTTGGGCTTTCAAAATATTTGTTAAATATAATACAATGCACATTTACAGAAGCATTAGTGATTATCAAAGCATTGTGGCCTAGCGAAATTGGAGCAGTGACCTGCGGGTTCGATTCCAGCTATCTGCTACAGTTGTGGTCAAATCGGCGAGGTGGCTGGGCTGTATAATTCCCAAAATCGTGGTACCCTGAAGTCTAATGGCCCCAACCACCCTTGACACCGCTGATACAAAGCATATTTGTGCATCTCACCCGCCAAGTTCATTCCTCTGGAACTCTGGTGTCCCGACGGACGCTGTGGACGACGTGCCGTTGAGCGACGCAACGTCTCCTGTGGCGCTGCTGTCGCTGCTGCTGCCGCCGTGTGGCGGTTGTGGCGCTACGCTGTTCTTGCAGTAGCGCCGCCGCTGCGGGTGTGAGAGGTTGGGGCTGTCGTTGTCCTCGGCTTCGCTGCATGTGAAACCTGCATAGAAATTCATGCTATAGGCAGAGCATATATAAAATTTTGTCTCATGGAGAGGGATTGAAATTACCTGACGGAACTTCGGCAGTCTGCGAAAAATAGACATGCAAAGTTATTAACAGCATTATGAAGAGAGTTTAGAACATCTTCATTGAAAAGCATATTATAACTTTATTAAACAAACGAATAAGGGCAGCATAAAGAGTGACACTTGCCCTGAGGAAGTACGTATTCCTACTTAGTTTAATATGACCTGATGATAACTCTTAACATTAGGTAAACTCATCGAGTCGTTATTACGGCACTTCCAATTGAATAAAAGAAGACAACCAATGAAATTATTTTATTGTTTATCAAGCTAGAATTGCAGTCGTTTGCAATCAAGATTGGAAAGGCTACCTGTGTTGTCGCGTGAGTGTTTGTTGCCGATGAGCGTCTGGCTGAAGATGCGCGTCGTTCCGTTGCGGTCATCGACTCTGCCGCCGTTGCGCGACTGAAAACATAGAATACATTATAATGATGGTCAAATAAAAATAAAGATGCAGAAATTTGCGTAATGTTCAATAAAATGATTGGTATGTTAATAACCAGTAATTACAGGAACTGAAAGAACACAACCAAAAAAACAGCCTCCCCGATGACATCGTTGGCGATCCAAGTATGAACGCGTTCACGAACAGACTATATAAAGCTATGGAAATATATATTATATATGTTCAGATTTGAAATGCCTAGCACCATATCGAACTCGGTGGAAGTCCAGTAGCTACTTCAAACTATCGTCAGTCATGAAAAGATCCGGTCAAATGACACGAGTTTAGATCTTCTGTGAACAAGGCACGAAAAGGAAAAGAATCGGTGACAGGCCACATCAGGCCTACACTTTAGCGCTGAGATCACTATGTTAAGTTATGTTATGTTAAAAATTATTGAGCTATTAAAATAGGGATTGTGTACAGCCATATGTCCCTGATTTTGTCGTTAATTGGGACATATTCACACGCAGAACTATGTCCCTACTTGAGACATATTCACAAGCAGGAACTTTGTCCTGAGGACGGACGGCCACTATATATACCATCAACTCCCACTGCCATGAAACTAACGCCTAAAGATCACTTCACTAAAGTCAGTCAAAAGAAGTATCCATGCATGTTTCATAACTCGTTCTAAATTCTCCCACTGCGTTAAATATAACAAGAAATTACGTAAGCCTCGTAAATCACCATTATCGAATAAATTTTGGGTATCAGAATTGATGATGTGCAAATACTTCACAAATTTTACTCGACGCCAATTTTTATAAAAAATTTATCCATTTTGAGTTAAAAAACTCAGTTCACAGTGAGAGGTGAGCCTCCAATATCACTTCGAGATTAGCTTCCAACATTATTTCCCCATTTCTATAACACAGTTATTAGTAATTAGCAAAAATATTAATTTTCAGGAGTTGCCGAACGCTGACCTGAGAATGGCTGAGGGGCGCCACCTTGGAGGCGTTCATGGCGGGGTGGACGAGCTGGCTCAGCTTCGTGGGCAGCGCAGCCGACGGATCTTCTCGGAACTTCTTGCTGCAGGTGTAAAATAATCATCTTCATTGCTATGCACGAAATTATGCTGTCAAGAATAATAGATGTTAAAGTTACGGAACAAATATTCCTGTCGACTCGTTTTAATGTTTTGAAATAGTCCAATTTAGGAACTCTTTCATTTAAATTTAAGCATAGTAATCAAATTCTAATTACCAATAATTGTTTTAAACTAATAAAACCTTTACATATAATATGAAACACAACTAACCGCCCTTTTACTCTTTCTCCCGGTTTTATTTGAAACAACTTTTTCTCTGAATTTTAGTACAATGAAAATAATATCAAACAAGGTGCAGAGATGTTTTTGGTGGTGAAATACAAGGTGAAACAGAACAAATACGAGGTGAAACACAACAAAAATACAAGGTGAAACACAACTAACCACCCTTTTACTCTTATCCCCGTTTTATTTGAAACAACTTTTTATCCGAATTTTAGTACTATGAAAATAATATCTAACAAGGTGGAGAAATATTCACTTTTTATGAATATAGACGGCCAGGCAGATGACGATCAGTATGAGCACTCCCAGCAGGCAGCCGAAGATGAGCAGCAGCAGGAACCACCAGCTGGGCTCGAACGTGGCACTCAGGCTTGTCAGAGCGCGCGGGAACTTTACAGTCACGGGCACCGAAGTCTGCGTGGCAAAATCAGACATAGTGAGTTGAACATGGCATGTAAGTACGTTATATTAGAATTCAAGTTATTTCAATATCAAAACTTTAAATGACTCAGTCAAACTACATTCACGAAAATGGAGTTAATATTAAATTTCCAGCTGTTATTCACAGGCACCGAAGTCTGTGTGCCGAAATCAAACAAAATCAAAAATAGCATTTAAGTACGTTATATTCGCATTGAAGTTAGTTCAATATCAAAACTTTAAATGACTAGATCTAACAACATTGACGAAAATGGTGTTCAAATTAAATTTTCAGCTGTTCTTCACAGCTGGCACCGAAGTCTGCGCAGAAAAGCCAACGTTTTGAGTTGATCGAAGCGTAAAAGTACTTATATTTGCATTCAAGTTTTTTTAATAAAACCAATATTTTCGGAATTAAATTTCCTGATATTGTTTACAGGCACAGATACACCGACGTTTGAGCAGAAAACTAAACGTAGTAAGTGCGTCGGAGCATCATATTACTTTATACTTGCATAAATGTTCGGTTATAATATTTAGAATAGTTTTTTTCAGACAACAGTAACTCTAAAGGTAAAAAATTGAAATTTCCAGCTATTCTGAAACAATTTATATAAATTTGATCAGCAGAAGAACTTTTCTGATGACCCGGATTCAAGGTTCACCTGTCTAGGCGGGTGGCCGGAGTCTCGAGCCATGACTACGACGTGAGCCTCGGACGAGTTGAGGCCATCAAGGCTAACAAGCCTAACGTGGCCTCCAGCATCTACACTGAAGTGCCTGTACACATACATCTTCATTATTCATGAACTGAGGATTTATTCCTAATCATTCATTGGCTGCTATAACCTCGCAGCTGGAGTTGAATTAGGGTGTATTTTAATGTAAAATATTATCTTTCTTATAGAATAGTAATCTAACCTATATATACATATGTGACATATCGGATAGCGAAAATAGGGATTCGATCCTTGAAAGCGTCTATTCATTGTTTCAGTGATGTTGCATTATAGGAGTTGATGCAGTCCAGGGAAATAAACTTTTCACATGATTCAAGGGCAGCAGTAAGCGCTCACGAGAATGGTATTCAATATGGTGCATTGAACTGAACACAGACGAATGACAGCAGTACATCGACACAACGTTAATACATAATATTAACAGCAAATTATTCATAAAAATTATCAGCAGTAGATAAATTCCTTTACTAAATATAAGCTGTTCACCTCGCACTCGAAACGTAGGAAAAGATCGATCAAAATTAAGATCAACGTTCATTATAAATATATACTCAAATCCCAGAGACGATTTCCACTCATGATTCTCATCTATACAAATTCTTAACAGAAGGTATGAAATTTCTCAAAAAAACTGTAAGGAAATAAATTTCTAAAAAACCCTACCTCGCGTCATCCCCTAGGAGCGAGAGCTCAATGGTGTCCCCGATGTCCCCGTCAGCGACCTGGACAGTGCCGAGCACGGCACCCTCCTGCACGCCGTCGCCCACCAAGAACTCGTACTGCGGGAACCTGAAGCGCGGGTCCCAGTCGTTCACGTTGAGCACGACCACATGCAGCGTCGCTGTGTCTTGCTGAGCGCGTGGTTGATGAAAGAAAAAAATTGTAGTAGCAGAATTGAATGAAGATTATTTGCAGTAAATGAGGAATAAAGTAACGATAATTAATAGTTATTATAGCGATGTCGGAGTTGATTAGGCCGTCAAATATGTCGCTGATTTGCAAAATTTTCACAGCTTGTTGAGTGCCTCGAACATGCAAATCACTGCTCCAATTTTGCTTTGCTTAACAGCCAAGCCTTCTAGCGATTTTTTGCCAGAACTGCAGCAGGTAGCTGGGATAGAACCAGCTACTCACTGCTCCAATCTTGTCACTCTGAACTGTTTCCACTGGACCGAAGTATTTAAGGTAACGAATCAGAACCAGCACTTAACGCATGTTTTAGTGAGAACATTGCGTATTGCTACAAGACCAGATCTACGAAAGATTTTAATATGAATTCAGCTGCGATACTCACGTATTCTCCATCCGTGACAGAGATGCCAACGTCATATTCCTGGTGCTCGTTCTCTTCATAGTCAAGGTGAGTTTCTAAACGCACTTGTCCGTTGGGGGAAATCCTGAACACTCCCGCAGCAGAATCATCAAGTCGGAAGCGAACGTTCTGTGAGCAAGCAGACATAACAACGTGGGTCTAAAAATATTGTAGAAGCTCAAGAAAGAGAAACATGCATGCGCCAGTATAACTTTGGAAGAGGCTGATTTTTACGCTAGGGAAAGCTTAATGAATTTAATTTTTAACGACTTATGTCAATTCGGCACAATATAATATCATAAAATTTGTTCTTACATATTAATGCAAGCCCCAGACCTCATCAATGTTCCTGTTGATGACGACCTCGGCAATGAGAGCTCCAGGCTGAACGTTCTCAGGCACCGAGACGTTGTAGAAAGTCTTGACGAACTGCAGCTGCGATGACTTGTATCCTCGTCGTGACACCGTCAGGATCGTCCCCGCTCTGCGATCTGGGTTATCTACTTGCGTCGCCTGCGAACAATAGAAAAGGAATTACAAATTGCCAGCGATTTTACCAAATCATACCTAGTAACGAACTAATTATTTTGCAGAAAATTAAGTCTGAAATGCTGAGCAAACTCATACTCGAGGACGGAATTTTCAAGTTCAGAGGCTTGAATTTTGATGCGAAGGCTGATTTCGCATTCATCCTTATCATAAGATCACAGCTTCTATAGTATATTAAACAATAAATTTCAGAGGTCAAAATTATCAATTTTCAAATCAAATTTCAAATTATCAATTAAGTACTGGGCGAATTTCTTTCCTGACTAGCAATATTCACATTGTCGTTGCGGTCAAAAAAGAGGCCTAAGAATGTCGTACGATCAACAGAGGGCCAATCACTTCGATTACAGTTCATCCAGTCGTTTCATCGCAATATCGACGACCATTACCAGCCAAAAGCTTGTGCTAGCTAAATAACTTTTAATTTAAAAAAATGCGTGCTCACAAAGACAGAGAGCGAGACGGGCTGTGAGATAAGGTCAATGGGAACATCGCGAGTCAGATATACATTTCCCGTCACCGGCTCAATGCTGAAGAGATCGGCTTCAGGAACGTCTGTAGAAAAACAATTATTGAATTCAAGAGGAATTACGAGCAAACATGTTGCCTAATTAGGTACATAATAGATAATTGGATCTTCTGAGAAGAAGGTTTAATCAAAAAGCATCAGGATATTCTACCAGAAAGCATCCACACTATTTTCCTAGACTTCGACTCTCCTGGAGCATTATAAAAATATAGTTTATTTATTGCAGGAAAACAACAGGGTAACCGGGAAACTACAAAACCGGTATTGAATTTCGCACAATTAATCATTTTAGAAGCCCTAATAAATATTTCATTCATTCTCAAATTTTTCCAAAAAAGAAACAAGTAAAATTATTTATACTAATAAGAACCCACCGGCAGCGAGTGAGTATTTGACTTGTGCGTTGATGCCTTCGTCGCGGTCCTTGGCCAAGATGCGCTCAGGCTGCACCTCGAGCTGAGCGCCCTGACGGAGAATAAGAGTTGAGCACGATGAGCTTAAGGGCCTTACTAACAAAACTGCAAAACTAACAAGTGCACGTGGCAGCCCAAGTACACGTAGCGCACGAAATCTCGTCTGTGGTTAGTGGGTTTAACTTGAAAAGCCGTCAGTGGTTGACAATCGGAGTTACGAACTATAATCTATTTTGATAGTAGGGCCCTTGGGAGCCTCCGCGCACTGGTATTACAGTATATTTACCTGGTAATACTGGTAATATCAGACGTCGAACGCGTCTGGTATTATCATCTTGAGTAATGAATCGAATTCGAGCCTCGTGAGCCTGGGCCAAGCTCAATCGCAACAATTAGAATAACTATATTAAAAAATTAAGATAGAAAAATAAAATGAGAAGTATGCCTTATATTCAAACAATAATACCACAACATACTCGGTCGTGTTAACAGATTCCAGGTGTCAACTTGGCTGCATGTGTTTTTCAACAGATAATTTAAAAAATATAACTCAGTACTCACTTTAGTGCGTGACAGAGAGCGCATTTTCTCGTCGACGAAAACATGAAGTCACGGACGGACCGACAGACGGACATGGCGAGCACAATAGTGCATTTTTTTCATAAATGAGAAAATGCGCTAAAAATCGAAAAATTGTGTAAAAATTTGCACTTCAAAATACGTCTACGATGGGCCACTTCAACATAAGCAATGATTACAATGGGAAAATGCAAGTTACGAAGCATACTTAATTGTGACGTAACGTACATTTTGCAGAGCAGAAATAACTTCAAATAGCATATTTCATTTATACTAAGAACACCATTTCCGTCATCAAAGACTATCTTACCTAAAAGCTTAGTACCTAGAGTTACGGTCAGTTAAAAAGGGTTGGAAAGCATATCTCGTAATTGAATGCATACTCTGACAGCAGGCTGAGGTAGGGTGGCCATGTAGCGCTGCCGAGAGAAGGCCGGGTTTTGGTCGTCGCTGTCTGCCACGTAGACGGTGAGAAAAGTCTTCGAGCGTTGCGGCGGAGATCCCAAATCCTGGAACAGGTAATTAATTAGTAAGATTAAGGATTGAGTTGAGGTAACTATGTACGATATATATTTTAATTATTAAATTAAAATGCACAGGTTAAGAGTTTCAGGCGCACAGACCTGCGCTACGATGGTTAGGTTAAACACAGGTGCTGTCTCGTAGTCCAGAGGCTGCTTCAGCCGCAGAGAACCCTTCAGAGGAGACTCGAAGTCAAACAATTCCTGTAGAATTTAAATCGTCATAAATATACATGATAAACAAATACAATACTAATTTAATCTCAAAAACCCTCAACTTTGATTTAGCTCAGTACATTCCCTTTCGGCAATGCAAAAATTTAAATGCATATACAGTAAATATAATAGAATAAAATAATTGGCATATTTTCTTGTCAGGAAAAAATAAAAATGGAAAAATTATGACGGGAAAAATTCCGGAGATGTTAATGTATGTGTCTCGAAGAGAAAAACTGCCTCCTGTTCGTGTAGCACACAGGTTTTTGGTAAAAAATTCGAAATTCATTAGTAAAATTCGAAACTGGTGTGATTGATATAACTGAGTAGAATTAAATGCAGAAAGTTCAACAGACCGAATGTGGTCCCGGGCCGATGGTGTACTTGAGGGTTGAGAAGGGGCCCTTTTGATCATCGTCCGTGGCCTGAATGTCACTGAAGATGATAGTGCCCACGACTGTTGCCTGTTGTGAGTTAATTACTCATGAATACTTAATAATCCAAAGTTACTTATGAATGTCTAAACCAGCGAACCTTATTTGTATTCACAGACAGAATTTTTTTACAAATTCAGCGTGAAAAGATACAATTTTCAAAAAAAATTGCGGGAAATAAAAGCTGAAATACTACTTAAAATAAAAAAGAGGCCATAATTCGATTTTCCTAAACTTGAAAATCTCTCACCTTATCCCACATATATCGCGGCCGCCTACAAGTTTGGGATGAAGTAAATTTTCAAGTTTGTTCCAGACGAAGATGAAGTAACGCAAGTTGACCGAGTTACCAACTACTCCATGAAAGTAATTCATTTCAAAGTCGCCTCACCTCAGAAATATTGACTTTGTAAGGGGCACCGATGAAAACCGGAGCGTTATCGTTCACGTCCGTTACTCTGATGATCACTGGGATGTTGATTGCCTGCAAGACGCATTATCAAAAACCATTAAATGTGTTCGGTGAAACTTGTAACTAAATTATTGAAAATTATACATATTTTTCAGTTAATTTCGCGAAATTGGTAGACATTTCCGTTTATTTTTATTCTCGAAGGAAATCTCACCGCATCCTTGGTTCCAAGTTTCTTGCAGACGACGTCGGCGATGATGTGCGCTTGGCCAACTTTACCCTAAACAAGAAAATAATACAAATTAAAACTAAAAAAAGTCAATAAACTCAGAAAAAGTAAGACGGAAAATAAGTAAGACGGAAATAAACTCAGAAAAGTACGACGGAAATCATTTATAAAATATCAGGGTTTTGACAAATCTGCTCTCATATATGAAATCTAAATGTTGCGCTTATGCATTACAACTAAATCCAAATTATTAACTTCTACATTTGAGTTCTTCCGGTCAATATTAATAACACATATTAACCGAAAAATTTTGTCCGATTCCACTAGAAAATATTTGTCCGATTCCACTAGAAAGTATAAACGAACCTCTTTATCAATCCTGCCGGTGAGGATGAGATCTTTGGAATTGTCGGCGATCTGAATGGGCACTCCGCGATCTGCCAACGTGAGGTGAATATCTCCGCCCTCGCCAGCGTCGCCGCCGATCATCAAAGATCCTGGCAATTTATTTATACAATAAAAATGCTGCCTCAGAAGTAGAATGAAAATGGAACTTGATATACGTGTAGATATTTATCTTTAAGGAAACTTGCAGTTAAGATTATTTTAATTGTAGTCACCAATAGCAATAGTTTTCTTAAATATTCGTTTAGTATTAGTTTTAAATTTTCAATTATTTTGAAAATTTGATCCAATTGTGGCACCAAATTTCACGCAAATGCGTCGACAATTTTATTTTCCAGTGGAGACCTGCAACAATAAACACCAAATACAGCCTCGTCTATAAAATATTTGGAATGAAAATTATTTACCTGGAATGCCAAATTCGATTTACTGGATCAGTGCACAAATGTGAAAGTTTGACCGCGAAGCGTAATAATTATTAATGAAATAACTAAAACATATTAGCAATACAAGTATTACGTAGGCGAACATATACAGCAAATATTTTGAACCAGATGCCTAAAATGTATTGTGTAAAATAAATAAAATATATTGTATCAATATTGTATAAATATAAAATATAAAATATATTGTATCAATATTGTAAGATATATTGTATCAATATTGTGTAAAATATCATACAATTTTCGTGAAAGCTAATAGAATTACGAACGCACCGATGACTGAGCCGACAGGCAAGCTCTCATTGATGAAAAAATTAGCGACAGAGCCGCCGTGCTGTAGGAAGCATCGCGCGTCCTCCGTCGTGTTCCAGTCGTGGAAAAATCCATCGTCTGAGGTAGAGTGGGATTTAATTTATAATATTTAATATTATTTAATATCATTATATTATTATTTAATTTTATTATATTAATAAATATTTAATATTATTTATTTATTTATTTTATTTTAATTCTTAATATTTAATATTATTTTAGTATTTAATTTTTTTACGTTATTCGTATAATAGGTAATGTGTGCTTGAGTACTTCAATTTTTATAGACGAGAATTCCAGGAAAATTATCATCAGAATGCTCCCAACATATTACATTTTTTCTATTTAACTTGCAAGAATCGACATCATAATTGAAAAAGAAATAATAAAATTAAATCATAACAGCAATATCGTCTATGTGAGGAATGAAAAGAAATAAATCGAAAACCGGCACGACTCCTAATGAAGTTCGCTCATTCATCGGCACCTGATTCATTGATACACTTTCGAAAAAAAAAACCCTTACATTGTCATAAGTCTTGTAACGTGCCCCGTTGAGTCGTGTCAGGAAAATGGATGATAAACAGAGGGCCTCTTCATTTACACACAGTGGGGCGTAATCCATAACAGGCTCCCGTAGCACATGCTATGTCACGAATTTATCTCGGGTCACGTAACGAGAGTTCAGAAAGCCGTTCAGCAGCTTAAAGAACCAAGCCTAAATAAGGACACGAGTCCTTCTCGTCACAATAACAAGCGCTATGATTTAAGACGCACGAAGTTGCTGTAAGGGACAGTTATGTGAAGGACAGCTCATGAAGTTTTTATGACAAAGTTCTTAGAAGAGATTTCATCAAATTTTGGCAATGATATTACTTTAACTCTTTAGATCCAAGCTGGTATAGATGTGACGGAACTTTCTCTTTGCAACGCAGTTCGTGTGATTATGAATCATATAAGAAAAATTGTAACCGATCAATAACGGGATGTATAGAACAAAAGCGTCATAGTTAAATAATTTTATTTTCATTAACCTGCATCGCTGATGTACCCGTATTAATGCAGTGACTCATAGTCATCCGTATCTATGGCTTTATGGATTTCAACTTTTTGAACGTCTCAGTTTGAGCAAGTAAAATTTTAGCCAACAGGACCATTTCATTTTTGGAAGTCAAGATTCCAGAACTACATTGAAGAACCAACAAGGTTCCTATTGAGGCTCTCTGTCCGCAGTTCAACATGGTGAACAATTGTGCAACAAGATTAGCATTCAATCGTGCCAAACAGAAGAATTTCGCATCTTCTGTGGCTTTAGCAGGACAGGATATGACACTAGCAAATACAGATTGATTACACCGATATTTTGAATATTCAATTGATAACGACTGGCTGAAGATATAAAATACAAGAAAAAATAAACAAGTATAAGAAACGACTGTCTACAACTCCTTTAAAGGTCACCATGAATTTTCGGACCAATTGATTATCATGACTTGATTGAAATATAATTCGAATTCATTCCGTTACATAAATATTTAATCCCAACACATAAAAAAATTGTTAAGCAGAGTTATTTTTTCTCATTTACCTTCAATAATCCGTTGTTTTAATCGAAAAAACATCATTGATCAATGCATATTAACCACAGGTTTTAGACTCAACATCGAAAAACATCAATAACTTAAATGTCAACGAGCCAATAGATGTACTGGAGTGTAATTTAAGCCAAACAAACACTTGCAGGAGGTCTCGCTAACGACGTTCCTCACCTTGGCCGTACACCAGCGACGGAAGAGTGAACATTAAAAACATGAGAGGAGAGGCAGTTATCTTGGAGACAACGCGGCATCTTCGACGTGTTTTTGCCTCGTCCGAACCTCCGGATGATCCGGAACGAATGACGCGTTGTCGGCTGCGAGGCGCCATGAAACTATTCAAGAATTCAAGCGCTTTTTCCAGAAAATAGTAATAGATCAGGACTATTTTTGCGGGTCGTTGACCAGTCGGACAGACAACGCCTTCAGGTATACGCTGATTTTTTGAAGTTCTTGTAGTTATTTGTTGAGAAATCGTTGTCATTTTGCTTCTTTCTTGTTTATTGTTTGAAGATTCTTTTGTACTAGTAAAATTACCTGTCAACTTCCCGTGGTATGCCGGGTCAATTGAGTCATTATTTTTATTCATGTATTGATAATAAGAAAACTCCTGTTGTCTCTCGAAGTAGTCATCGTCCACGCGTACACTGCGACCTTTTGATTCATTCTTGCGGGACGATTTGAATTTTGCTGGTCGTAAAAATGAACAGACATGTTCTATTCTTTGAGGTTCCTGGACACTAATCCTCAACTGCTCAGGGTCCCAGCCCTCTCGATCGGAACGCGACATCTATTGATCATTAAAAAATATATCACTTCGAAAAATATTTTATTTGTAAAAAGGCCGACTGAAATAATAAATACGGCCCACCAAAAATTAAATAATTTGCATTTTAACACACGCAATGAATTTCAACTTTGATGGCAAGAATTTCAGGCCATTGCTAAGGGCATTAATGCTGCTGACTAAAATTGGAATTTGTTAAATGAACGACAACAGGAAGTAAAGTTTTTTCGTAGAAACAGTTGTTAATGCAACCGAATGAGTTCGACAAATTTCTTGAGAACTTGAAGAAACACCACCAATAGTCAACAGGTAACACAACACTAGAATTGCTGAATCCTGGGCCAGGAAATTTGCTCTGGCTCATCAACGATTTCAAACCGAAGGGAAAAATTTCGCTTAGTGGAACACTCGGCGTGACAAAATTTCAGTCGAAGTGGAGCAGACAACGTAGACCCAGACGCGGCTGTGGCAGATGTCGTGCGGAAGGTCTGGAAGTAGAATGAAAAGAAGAAATTAGACACGCGTTAGTAGCTAGGATTCATTGATAGTGATATGAATCCCAGCATTAGCTAGGATTCATTGTGAGTTTCCTCGCTATCAAGCACCCAAAAAATGACTGGTCACATATTCCAAAAACCGAACACATTTTACCTCCCACAGCACTAGGAAGGGAGCGGTCGTAGCACTGATTTACAATCAGGAAAACAAACATTTTATTATCAAGCTTTCCTGCGCCAAATCTCAACTTCATGTATGATTTCATTTAATTAATACCATCAATTCAAACCGTTCACTTCATGAAGTCGAAACAGAATAAATTTCAAGGAACTTGATATTTATGCAGATGAGATTAAACGCGTCCAATTGGCTTCCCAACATAATTTATAAAAAATAATGAAAGTAAATTACAGTTAAAACTTTGTGAAATGGTAAAATAGCAATTTGCCGAGTTTTTCTAATTTAAAAACCATTTTTTGCATTAAATAACCACTGCTTGGCAGAACAGATGCAAAACGGAATAAAATAAAATGTTAAGTTTTATTTTAGTAGTTAGAACAACTCTTCTCAAAAGAAATTCGACAAAAATAAATGCAAGCCTTAACGATGTTTACTCTAACATCGAAATGGCTCTGCATGTCATAGAGGCAATTTATTCCACTGAGTCGGTGGTGTACTTGATGTTGTATGACCAGTACATATGGGTAAGCAAATATAAGATCACGGACTACACACATACGCTGCAGCAAAGAGAGTCTCCTAGACCAGAGACGTCGAGATAAGCGAGCGCGACAGTGGAAATCCGACTTTCTCACGAACGACAACCTGAGCGCAGGACGCCTAATTAACCCAGGGCGTAATGCGCTGCCTCCCATGCGAGCAGAGAAGCAACTTGGATTCTGCTCCCTTGCTTACGTTGTGGAACCAGAGTAAGTAAGAAAACCTGGGCAGGGTTACACGACACTTCATTGGTTGAGATCACGTTTACTTTCGTTGGAGAATTGCACACCTAGCATGGCCTCTGAGTTTTTTTTTTTTTTTTGAGGCGAAACTACTTCCACTATCTTTTAGAGGACTGAGGAGTTAAAGTTAAGCACGGTAGCTTACTCGTGGAACATATTTATTAAATTTCAGCGTTTCAACAGCATAAATTATGCTCAGGCTAGATGTACATAACATTGCAATAAGCCTCACTTATCGTCACATATTAAAACAAATCAAATCAGTGTCATTTAGGTATATGAAACCATGAAGGAGAGTACTATCATGACTCGCAATTCCAATTTACATCCGCCGCGTAAGCAGCACAGCAAACCAAATGCCGACCGAGGGCGTCAACCACTCTCGAGTTCTCACAAATGAATACAGTCGCCTTATTATTTCACGCATTGGCAACACAGCCCATGGAGTTACCACCAATTCCTTACTATACGAGCAAATTAGTCATGAGCAGCACGCGTCAAAGGTTATGGAATCAGCAAGATACTGCTTTGGACAATAAATTATATTGGACGATAAATTACAAGATCATTACCAGGCCATTAATTGCAGGATTAATTACTAGGTCATAAATTGCAGATTAGAGCACAAATTGGCGCCTGCATAATGACAAGACCGGCGAATGAGCAAAATTCATGATCTTGGCATTTAGGCCAATAATGTGCGAGTGTTCACCTTCTGATTCCTTATGAGACCTGGTATGAAAAAAGGAGCAATTTCGGCGATATTAAGTTACAGAACTCATATATGGAAACTAGAATACTTTTATTTCCACTTACGACTAAGTATGGAAGAACCCGTAGCCTAAATGAACAATAATTGGATGTTGACAGAATATTTTAAATGAAGGATCGTTACAACTTAAGTTTGAAAAATTAAAATCTTTCCAGTTTCAGTGAATTTTATGGAAGGCATCGGCAAGAGAAAAGACTACACGTACCGAGATAATTGACAGTGCAACTAAAGGGAACGGATAATTGGTAACATACAGCTGCTCATCCAGTCAATGAGTGAGCGGAAATAACAAAAACCATAACTAAAAGATTGATCACGACCAGCCGGCATCCACAATATACATTGCATTTATCTCATGGCCGTAGCCGCTGAGGGAGGAAACGCTCGTCGCATTGTAAGGTTCAGCGACACTTGTAGGTGCTTGAGAAGGATGTGCTCCGTCGACTTTATTGTGTTCTGACTGTGTTTAATGAGGCGAAATTTTGTTTTACAAGTCACTTGCAGAGAAAAGAGAGAATAATGGAAGATGATGTTAAAAAAATTAAGTTAAACGACAGAGAAAAGAGAGTACCGTTGAAAACACAACAATGAAGTCAGATAATGGATCGGAAAACGAAAAGTTTCAAATGCAAATGCATTGAGAGTTTGGTAAAGAGTAAAGTACGTTGCAGAGTATCGAAAAATTATTGTCTATATTTCCACTTTTGACGAATCAGACGCGGAACAGAAGGTTTAGGTTCCAACAAACAGATTAATTAATTCAAAATAGTAAGAAAGACATTCGCGGAGTGAAAGACAAAGATTTTTGAAGCAGTCCAGACACTACAGCCCCTAGTGGTTCTTTTGTTCGGGGCGCTCTGCGACGCCGATGTTTATCGCAGTCTAATAAGATCCTCCCACCAAGATCTGCTCTGAAGCACGCGGCCGATGGGCGTCGAAGTGAGGAACTTTTTCGGATGACACAGCGCTTATGCAATAATTTTCTTGCGGCATAATAGGAATGCACAGGTCGTAAACATGTTAGGGATGGGAAGACAGACTCGCTTAGCTTCGTGAGAAGAAATGTACTGCCGCGTTGAATAATAGTAATAGCAGTGTCAGCTTTGATTAGGCTGTTAGACCTGTCGCTGATTCTGAATATATGATCATTTTTTATGAAAGGAAATTTGACGGATTCGCAGGGATGAATAAAAATTATGGTTGCCGGGTCCATGCAAATTCAATGTAATTTCAAAGCAAATTTTTGGTAAGTATACATAAGTTTCTACGGGCAGAATCCCAAACAAGAATCGACAAGAAGTGTGAAATAGAAAGACGATTTTGAGGATATTTTCGGTTTGAATCTTGAAAATAGTGCCGTGAATAAGAAAACGGATACCATGAAACTTGATCTTCCTGAAGTCTATCTATTGATCCCAAATTTATCTACATTTCTGGAAAATAATTTTATTTTCTGTAGTTAATTTCTTATTGCAATCATAATTTTTCTACACAGAAGCATATAAAATAAAATTTATTTAGGGCATAGAACATATTAACCGAATTCTTTAGCTAAATTGCACACAGGAAGTGTTCATCAATATTACTGACGCAGTTTTTTCTAAATCTCGTTTAGAATAAAAAATTAGAAACGGCGTATAGTGAGTCGCTAAAAATAATCAGCTTTCATGGTTGTTTGACGTTTGGTCTCGAAGGGTCTATAGAAAGAGATTCGTTCAAAAACTCACAGTCAAACATTTTCCATTGTAGGAGTGAGCACGGGAAGTTAACACAACAGAATCAAACTCGAGTCGATTGTACAGAGAAACAATTACAGAGTCAAGAAAACCTTAACATACAGAGATTATTGAACAATTGATTCAAAAGAGAGAACTGAAAAATAATCCAATTGTTTGTATGCCTGTACGGACAGACATAGTCAATAATCGGCTTTCTATCGCATGCCTATTGACTGCGAGTAAAAATAATTGTAAACCTATTTATGAATACAATGAAACAATAAAAATTATTTATATTCATGAAGAATAATTAATATGAGCATAGGAATGAAAATAAAATACGCTCGTTTCAACATGACATTCAACAGGAAGGAATCAGAGCTCGAACTTAGAAATTCAAATGACATAGAAATAAAGAATGTCAAAATGGCCAAACAGGTAATTACGATACGAATTGCGTGTATGATAAAATCGTTGCTAGGAATGGCAAAAATGCACTCTCAAGATTTTTTTCGATCATAGACAATCAATAAATAGATATCGAACAATCCTATAACATCTTAGTATATCTATTGAATGATCTGTCAAATGCACTGAAAAAAGTTATTACGACAAAGGTTTAAAAAGCCTTTGCGGTTAAAAAATGCCATATAAATTTAAGTCGAAGATCTAAACATCGAATGTTGAAAATGATAGTTGATCCCTTTCTATTTCGAAACCATTTAACCCAGTTGCTGCTCGGGAGACAGTTTGCATGACCGCTCCTGGCGTTCAAATTGAATAATTTATTTCCAGCCTTCACGGGGGTTTTGCTGCTGTCAAATCGAAGAAGAAAATTGGCTTGAGGCCCATAAATTCAACTTCCAAGTTCTATAAGTTAAAGCTAAGTTGAAGGAGAAGCTAGTAAGTTTGTCTCACGAGCTTCATCTTGAAACGAATTTGACTGCATCCACAAATTTTATCACCCTATACAATCCTGGATCAGGATATATATTTAGGGGGCTGTTGGTATGGTCTTCTCCGTGTATCATATATGACACATAATTTTATTTAGGTATAATTCATGTTATTTAAACACATTTTGCTGTAAATTTAAATGGTCGTTCATGTGTTATTATTGTCTACGAATCAATACGTAAGAGGGGATGTTCTTCATTTGAGACACGAGAAACATTACTAGAGTGGGTGGATCTGACCCCTAAATTTTTCTCAGTGTTCTATTACTCGTGTTTCTGCTCACGACAAGCAAAATGAACTTTAAAATTTATTGCTCACTAAATCAAAAGTCCCGAAATAATAGCGTGCCGTGGCGTTCGTTGGCCGCTCCTGCCTTTTCTTTTCGAGTTCATCGTAGCCGGAGAAAATAGATCCTTGTTAATGGGACGCAAAACTTGAGAAGGTATGCGTCCATAAATCGCGTATGAGGACCAGAACGAACACCACATTATAAAGGAGACCAAGAGACGGCGGCTCTGTCGCGCAGAGCACGTATTTATCATCAAGAGACATCAAAAAATAGTGGAAATGCAGTTGAAAAA